GGAGAATTTGAAAAAAGTTTTAGAGAGGGTTAATTTAGAGAGAAAAACAAAATAGGGAAATAAATTTTAGAGGGAGAAATCAATTTTGAAAGAGATGGAGAATCAATTCTCTTACCATTGATCATGTTTGTCAAATTAGAAAATTGATTTTAAGAAAATTTAAAATCATTTTATTATTTTAAATTTATTTTTAACATATCACTTACATGGTGATTTTGAAAAATTAATTCTACTTAATTGTTTTTTTTAAATTATTAATACTACTATCATCCTCAAACACGCACTAAATATTTAGAGAGATTATACAAATTTTATAGAGAACAAATCAAATTAAAGATAAATAAAATGAGAGACACACGAATTTTGGAAAGAAAAATAATTTTCCTCAAAATTTAAGGTGGAAATGAGGGGAGACCATTTTGAAATTTAACCATTTAGAAAACTAATTACTTTTTTTGTTTTACCATTATTACTTTCTCCCCCAAGTGGTTGACCGGAATCATTTTCAATTTTTCTAAAATTTATTGAGATTCTTAAGACTTATTGTCAAACATATGTATTTTAAAATGGAAGTTATATGGGTGTTGGTAAAAGTTATCAAAAATTACTCCCAAACATACTTTTATAATTAGTATTTTATATACTTTACGAAATTTATGATCAGGAAAATAAAAATATAACATGAATTTAATTTCATATAAATAATGGGATTAAGATGTAGAAAATTGAGTTAAATTTAGGTTAGAAAAACGTTTGAAATAGTGATTAATAATAACTACCTCCGAGATTCAAGATTAAGAACATGTTTGGAAGTAATTTTAGTATGGTTAGAATCTCTTCTACTAATGTCAAAATCACTACCACATTTTAATGATATGTTTGGCAATAATTCTCAAGTTCCAAAATCACTTTCAATAATTCCCTCGAAGGTGATTTCAAAGTGATTTTTGGTGAAACAAAAAAAGAAAAGAGAAAGGAAAAAGGAACTTAATTTTTAAAATGATTATTGTTTTAAATTTCAAATTTGTTATTCTATTTCATGTCATTTTACCTTAAAATTTAAGAAATTGTATCGTTTTCATTTCTAAAATTGATGTCACTCTGTAACTTTATTTTTCTTCAATTTCGTTTATTCTCTCTAATTATTTTCCCTAAAATTTTTGTAATTTCTCCATAAATTTGTAGTTATCATTTATTTTCTAAGTTTATCTTTTTATCTAAAAATTTTTGTTTCTCATTCCCTAAAATTTCTCTCCCTAAGATTTTTGTTCCTCTTGAACTTTTCTCTCTCTAAAATTTTTTGTCAAATTCTTTCTTCAAACTTGAAATAATAATCATTCAAAATCATTATTAATTATATAAAAATCACTCTTTTCCCCCTCTTCCCTTGGAAAAATTATATAAAAATCACTTGAAACTATGTGTAACCCTAAGTTAAAATAATTATATAAAAACCACTTTAACAAAATAAATTATCATTAAATCTCTTTTGCTAAAATCACTCTTTGTAAAATCAATCATAAACGTATCCTAATCGAAAAGACTTTTGATAGGTAAGAGAGATAAAAATAAGAGTGAAAAAAGTAGAATGTTTTCTTCTTTCAAAAAATAAATAACGATAAACTTTTAGGAAGATTCATATTTTTCGTGGAAGATATATATTATTGAGTGTAAATGGCTCAACTACCGTGGGGTCAAAATATTCAATCGGAAAAAAAGAACAACAAAATTTTACAAAACAAATAAATAATCCTGGTTCATAGACTAAAGTGGAGAAACGAGGCTGGATTAGGATTATTTCCAATTCTGGCCCAAGCCCACAATGGGGGAAAGGAAAATAATAATAAAGAAAAAGGTTAAATTTTGATTTTATACTCTATTGGATAACGTTTATGTTTTCTCATTTTCAAGGAAGAAAAGTAGAATTATATGGCTGTGATATTTCATGATAAAACAATACTTTTATTTATGTTTTGGAACAAATTTGAATATAAACCATAAAYAAGAAACATAATACTTGATAAATGCTAAAGCTTTTGAATAAATTTGGGAACGTAATGAAAACATTACAAAACGGATCCTATATTTCCACTTATTTCATTTCATATTCCCTCCTAAACATCAAACCACATCAAATTGAACTTATTGATGAGTTAAAAGATTTGAACTTTTACAAAACTGGAACCTCCCAATTCAGATGGTAAGCTTAGAAAGTGGTAAAACCAGAAGAATGTTTGAAGGGTAAGTTGAGAGAGGCAAATATCTCCCAAGTATGACAAAAAATATATAAAAGAGAGCAGCGAAGTAAAGAAGAATTAATAGAGGGGGAAGAAAAAAGGGGTCACGTGGGAAGAAAATTCCAAAAAAAAGATCACATACATAAAATAAAAATGAAAAGGGACCAACAAAAAAGAGAGAAAATCAGCGGATGATATTGATGGCTACACAGCAGAGAAGGACGTCTAGCTGTTACTCTGCTGCCACCCTCCCCACTGTTTAAATGCCTTCTGAAATTAAAATTAAAAAAAAAAAAAAGAAAGAAAGAAATTAAACTAATTAAATCTTCCATCTTTTAACCTCTTGTATTTGTCACTGTCCTACTCTACTCTCTAGGATGCCAACCCTCCATCTCTCCCTCCAATGACATGTCACATTACATCTGTCATTTCTCAGCCAGAAAAACAAAAAACTATATTTAATTTTCAAATAACAAACTAGTTTATTCATTGAGTGAATTCTTGCGTTATCGCTTCCTTCCCAATAAATGARTTAAATTTGAGAGAGGGTTTGGAAAAGGAAGGGGTGATGAGTGATATCCATCCCAAAAGAGTGAAAATTTAAAGAGGGCAGGCGTAGGAGGAGGGGAGGGGAGCAGACGCTCTGAAACAAAAAATTCAAAGCATACGTCTCTTTCCTACGACAGTGGGTGGTTGCTCCTTTTTTTACTCTTCAACAAATATAATTATTATAATACACACTCTACACTATCTAGTACAAACAACAACGCAACAAATGGGTTTTATATTTTCCATTGCTTGTAAATGGAAGAGAGCCATGAAAAAAAGCTTACTTTTTATGGAAATTAAGGAAGGGTGGGGGCAGGAATAGGATTAGGAATGTGATGAAAAAGAAAGCATATCCATATCCACACCCACAGGTTGCATTGGTTTTTGACCAACGGGTAAGCAAAAGATTTTACCAAATTAAGCCGCTTTGTTTGTTCTGTTTTGTGGGTATATGGAAACGGCTCATATTCGCTTTGCTCACTACTCCTCTCCAAACCCTTTTTTTCCCTTTTCCTCTCTGCCCTTTTGTCATTCGGATCTCACCAAAGATTTCCTGGTCTTTGTTGTGTGTGGCTCAGCTGCAGCTGCACAGGACATAACCCTCCATTTCTGGGGACCACACACATTCACCTCATACCATTCTCCATCTCCATATATAATTACCTGATCATAGCCGCATGATGCATCATCATCATCATCATCATGCGGTGGTCAACGGTGATTGGAATAACTAATTTTTAAAAAAGAAAATTTTAAAATTGGGGGCTTAAATGAAATGATTGAAAAGGGGAAAATGGCAGATTATGGGGGAGGGATGGGATGAGACAGCTTAGGCATACATTTGTGCAGAGAGAAAAATTTACAGTCGCAGCCGCAGGCAACAGGCTGCGCCCACAGACACCTTCAACGGAACCAGTCCCTCCTCTATCTTTTCCAATCACAACTCTTTTCCTCTCTTTTTCTTTTTCTTTTAAATCGTCTGATTTCATTTCAAAACACTAATATATAAATACGAATCAAATCACGTGAGTTGAGTTCGAAATTGGAATAAAATTATGTTGACATTTTATTTTGTTTGGCTAATAATGAACCTGTATTGATGTTGTCAATAAGATATTTAATTTAAAATTAGATATTATGTTGTGATGTTAAGATTGTACAGGCAATTTAAATTGATGTTGTCATGTTGAAAATATGAAAATTTTTACTATTTTTTAGTTGTTGTCTATGTATGTATAATTATAGCTCAATCTCTTTTTTTCTTTTTCGGAAATTGATAAAACTATTCACTAACTAATAACTGTTTGAATCCGTTGCTTGTGTTGACAGGGCCGGCCCAATGATGAATTTGGAGACATGGTCGATAAATGTTGGGCCTGTTCGGATTTAAGGGAGCGGGCCCAATGGAAAGGGCCGAAACTTTGGAAACCTGACCTTGTGAAGGCAGCTTGCGGGCCCCGTCCGTTACCTCATGGCCCAATAAGACATGTAAGCTACGGAAACCAGGCCCAAATCCATTCAACGTTTACACGGCCCAACTCTGAAAAATACCCGTGCCCCATATAGGGTACAAACAACGGCCCACAATATATGCCATTGTAAAACCTGCTGTTGAAACATCTACTCATTCTCTAGTTGGTTAGAAAAAAAGGTAAAAACAATCCTTTGTAATTGGCTTTATTATAAAAGAATAATAAGAATTCTAGAAAATTTTCTAATTCCTCCAAATTTTTTAAAAATTATAAATTTTGAATTTTTTTGTTCTGACAACTTTTTTCTCCTCTAATTTTCCACTAAACCTTGCTTAAGTTTATCATGCGTCAATTTTCATTTATCATTGAATGAAAATCTAAATTAAAAATGTTAAAAATCAAAAGTAACTAAATTAAAGACTAAAACATATGTTTAGTATCTTCCATGGTCAAAATTTTTTCGCATTGAATGAGCATAATTCTATAAGTAACTTGACTTTCATTGAAATTAGACAGATTTTTATAGACCTTTTACATTTTATTTTATTTTATTTTTTGATAAATTTAATGAGCAAACGTAACAGAATTTAAAGAAGGGTTAGAAAGAAAGGTTGTAAAATCTATATTGAAAGTTCAAAGTTCAAAGTAATGAAATTAAAAGTTGTGCGAAAATGATTCATGTTGTTGCTTCTCCTTAAATTTCTCTCCGCCAGTACACCTACCAACTTAAGTATGGGTGCCATTTTGCATGGTCAAATGGAGAAGTATTAATATCTGAATCCATCTCAGTATTCACAATACACTGAAAGAGTTGACCATTCATCTTAAATTTTATAACAAGACAGACCTATTGAGAATCTACCTTGTCTGCTGACTTCTTCCACGTCGATAAAATCGAGAAATCTAAACACTGCTAGACAACCAAGACCAAGAGAAGTCACTATTGATTATTGAACTTGCCTTGCAGGAACCAATTAATTCACAGGATTACATAAATCAACAAAACTTGGATCAGAGAAATACACATTTAGTTTATAAGTATCTAATTTAGGACTCTTACCAGTTAGTTTATAAGGTCCCTTTAAAGAAGCAAATGATACAAGGCAAATGGAGGATGTTTATCCATCATCACCACCTTCTTACCAATGATGTCAACAGCTGCACCAAAGTTACAAAAATAATTGTCTGTTAGGATTAAGTAACCAGAAGCAGTTGCCATGGATGAAAAAGCACCAAAAGAAAGCAAGTGGAATAAGAAAGAAATGCACATTGCAGAATAATATGAAAATGAAGCCTTTTCTCCGAGCACGTATCCTAAGCCAACCAAAGTGTTAACCCAAATGCAGTTCATTTCAACTTCAAAACAGAAATAACCAGTTTGCAAAGAAGCATTCATAGTGAGGAATGGCATAGATAGAGATTTGATGGATGTTCAGTTAGAGTAGAAGCTTCTGCACCTCAAATAATTCAAATGGGTTGCCACGCTGATATACATCGTTCTTCTTGCTGGCATTGGCTGGGAAAACTTTATACAGTATTGCTCTCCATCCGATGAGCAAGACAGCCGTGCTTCCCATTGTTACTCCTATGAAGTTATACGGCGGAAGATGACCAGATGTTGCTGCACGTATTATTAGACCTAGCTGCCAAGGCATTCAAAGGAAAGTGCGCTTTGGTGCTGATGATAAGATACAGGAACTATCTATGACTTTGGAATCCATAAGATGATCAAGATACAACCTCATCATGGTATCATTATTTATAATGAGTTACAGTCCCTCTCCTTAAGGGCAATCAAACCGGAATTATTTTGTGATGCTGTTCTTAGACTCTTAGTGCAATAATTAAAAACTACCATGTGAACAATCCAACTCTAACATTTTTCTTTTCAAAACGGAGGAAGCCATCACTTTTCAGCAAATGAAGCTTTTGTCCAAGTATTTGTGTGCTTCAAACTACTTCTTGAATAAGTACTTTAGCAAGAGTCATTCAACTACAAGCACTTCAGTTCTTACTGACTAATTAGATTGATGTTCGTTTTATATTTTTAAAAGTGCTTCCAGTCTACCACTTGAGGCAAAATCACTTTACAAATACTTCTTTACAAAGCATTTCAAGGTGCTTTTGATTTTAGCACTTTATCGTCTCATTTTTAAGATACTTTTTTTTTTTTTTTACTTTTTTTCATAGAACTTTATTACTTTAACATGAAATTCTGTAGGGAAACTGCTTTTGGCCATAGCACTTTGCATAGTGGAAAGCACAAGCCTTACTCGGATAGTGATTCAAGCTGAAATTTCAAACGAGAAGTCTACTTCAGTCTAGTAACAAAACCAAAACCCGTTCAACTTTGGAATTCAGAACTAAGAACAAACACAATAAGGTTAAAAAAACTTACTGGAATCCCCAAAGCCCATGATTTAGAAGTTGCAATAACAGCTTTGGAATAACCATTTATACCCCGTCCATCCTCTCCATAACCTCCGAGAAAGTAAGCACTCAGAAACCAACCTATAATAATCGACTTCCAATGGTTCAGCGAGCAAAAAACCAAAGATTCAACTTCAAATTATGGCGCAGAAACGTACCAGCAATAAAAGGGTCAGCAGTGCGCAACGTCTCGAAATCGAAAACAGGGAAACCATGACTGAATCTTCCTATGGAGGAGAACAAAAGCAAGGCCAATACATCTCCACCAGCGAGCAGAGCCACACGGCTGAAGAAAAACAGAACCACAGAACAACAAATCAAATTCACAACCGAAAAAAGAAAAACAAACGACCTAATTTATGTATCGAAGGAATCGTCAGAATTTACCCCCATTTGCTCAAACGAGAAGACGTATCGGGTTTGTCAAATTGAATTACACCTTCCAACGGAACATTCTCATCGCCGACGAAAACAGTTTGGTCAGTGGGAAAAGGAGGCGGGGTTGGGGATGTGGAGAGAGCCTGTTTGGTCGAATCGACGCTTCCTTCGGCTTTGGAGAGACTGATGTTTAGGGGTTTCGCAGGATTTCTTCTGGGAATAAATTTAGAGCGGCGGAAAGGATTAGGGTTAGAGAATTTGAGAGCGGGAGGAGTGGAGAGGGAGAATCTTCTCGCCGGTAGAACTCCGGCCGGAGCTTGGCTCAGAGGCAACATTTTTGCTTTGCCTCGCTCGCCTTCACCAGTAACCTGTATTGCTGGCTGGCTCCTATTATCCTATACACCACAAAAATTGACGGCTCTTTTTATGTATTTTTTGAACTCTATTTAGTGGACAAAATTCTTTTTGGGATTAATCATATTTAACTCGAAAAAAATCAACTATACTAGAGGTCGGAGATGTTCCCCTCAAAATAATTAAAAAAAAAATGTTCCACACAATAATATTTGTGATATATGTGCAATTTGACATATAGATAGTGACTAGTAAGTTTTGATTGATAACCAGTGCATAATTCAACGATTATATTTATTATACTGAACAAAAAAAGATTAAATTCTAATTATCTTCAACCAAAAAGAATTATTACTCTTTTATTGGGAGCCATTTTATTCGATTTTATGACAAAATAAAACATAAAATTATCACTTGAATTTTAACAGTTTTAAAATATATATATATAAAATTTTGTTAATTAACTGATTTTAGCGTTAGCTACTCTTTTCATTTGGAATAATATTTCGGAAATGCTTTTAAAATTTCAAACTAACAGAGATGTGATAAAGAGAAGATATATAAATTAAAGATAAAATTGCATTTAAACTTTCTTGATGAAAATAGAATAAAAAAGGTTGACTCTAAGAACACGAAAGCATGATTTACAGTAATCTGAGTGAAGTATTCACATGCATGATAAAAGCAAAAGGGTGGCCAATGCCTATGTTTAGTTCTCAAAAACTTTTTTACTTCCTCATTTTCAACCCGCGAACTAAACACCTCCTAATGTCATATCGCAAACACGTCGCAACTAAAATTCAGAGCTCATGAATCACAATCTCTGTTCTGAATTTTGATGAAGAAGATCACATGAAACAGTGGCTATAGCAGCTGGTTGCTTAAAGAAAGAAAATAAGCTGCCTTCTGGTTTCTGATACGGTGGGTGCATATTCTCTGTTGGATGATTCCACAGAAAGTTCTAACGAATGGAAATTATGAGCATCAAGAGTGGGTGGGATAAAAAAACAAAACAAAACAAGAAGTTTCACAAACAGAAAATGAACTTTTCTGACAAACTATTATGGAAGTCTGCACATACACAAACATATAGTTTAAATTCTTCTTCCACCTGTTTCTTAAACACTGGGCAAAGATTTAAGAAGAATTCACAAAAGTTGACCCCAAACGATCGCTGCAATGGCTGCTGCCTCCTCCTCCTCCTTCATGAGTCTTATTGTTCTCTGTTCTGGGGCTGCTCCCTGTGCTGCTGTTTGAGAAAGAACCAAACGCTGTTTTCTGCAGAACCCCGGTTGGCGATGACCCTAGCGACGGGCTATTGTCCCACCCTTCTGTCATCAGGTTAAGTATCGACGAGCTCTTCAATTCCCCGCCATTGTTGTTCGTGCTATGCAGAACCTCCCCAAGCGGGCCGCCCATGGAACTCTCCCACGATATGGGGATCCAATTTGCCTGCCTGTTGTTTGGTTCATCCATCACGTTCCCCACTCCCAACCCCATCTGAATTGGGTCCACCTCCTGCGACGACTTCAACGGCGAGAGGGTAACTTTCTCATTCGCCGGGGACGAGGTCGAGGATCTGAAATCCGAAGTCGCCATTGGGATTGATATGGATAGCTGAGTCCTATCAGATTGGAGGTCGAGATTCGAGTTGGACCAAGAAACCGAAGAGGTATCAGATTGGTTCTTGGGCCAATTGTTGAAGAATTGGCGAAGTGAATGCTGGGATTGGTCAACTGCTTCTTGGGTAGTGATGCCCTCGGAAGGATTGAAAGTTCTGTAAGTCATTAAAGAAGAGGTCTTCTGAGAAGAGTTGAGAAGGAAACTGGAAGATAGAAGCCCAAACTCTGTTCTTGATGGTTCTTCAAATGGGTTCTGCTGTTTCTGCATTGCAAATGGAAGCTGCGGCTTGGATTTCATGTCAATGGCAGGAGACAGAACAGAGAGACCAGATGATGTTGTTGTATCATGCAACCCATTGCCCCCATTCTCTTTGTTCATTATAAACATTCTGTACAAACAGGAAAATCATAGAATTTCCAAACTCAGCCAAGAATTTTATATCAAAATCAAATAATCAAACATGCCAGCAGTTCTCCTATAATGCTTTTTCTTAGAGGCCGAGTTAGAACTATTTGAAAGTTCAGTTTAGTGGGACAAATTAGAAAAAGAGTTGAAAATTAAATTGCAACTTTAGTAAATTTTGTGTCTAATAACTAAAAATCTGTGTATAAAGGGTCATTTTTCTAAAATTTACAAACTTATTATTCACAAAATTGAAGGATTTCGAAATCTATCAGATACAAAAAAAAGAAAATGGAAGTTTTAAGAATCTACACATGTAATTGAAACTCTAGGACCTATCATATAAATAACTGAAAGTTTAGTATTTCGCCTACAACTTTTGCCGATGAGGAAAGTTAATGAAAACAAAATAATATTTTTTTTATCAATGATTGAAGTTTCAAGATTGGGATTGGATTTGTCCAGTAATGGGAATCATGAACAGTACTAATTCTAGACGATTAAGACACATGATGGGCATGGACAGTAATTTTCAGAGGGTGGTTTATACCTGTTGATTTGAGCGGTGGCGGCGGAGGGAGTAGGCTGAGATCCAGCGCCGGCGCGGTGGAGGTTCTTGAAGTTTTGGTTCACAAAGGAGAGGCTGTTGGATGAACCGTTGCCGGGCACCGCCATGGAAGAAGCTGATGGCAGCTTACTAGAATTAGTCGCGGTGGTAATATTGGAGGCTCCGGCAACGGAGTGGCCGGATTGGCCTTCCACAGGCTTTCTTGAACGGTGGCGGCCTCTGTTCATATGCCGTTCACAGTACTTCTGATCCGCTACTGCGTCTCTCGAGCACCGCCATTT